CTGTCGATATACAGGGTGTAAGGGACGGTCTACCGAAATTTTGCAGGCACTATCAGACCGTGAATCTGAACCACTTTTTCTATGGAGCCAAATATTTTGGGAAACATTTTTACTTTCCGTAGAAAGTTAGACAGCTCATTGGGAATTCTGTGCGGACTGTAAAAAAATATCACGTTTTTAAACATAACCAACATAGAAAGACATGATCAGTTTCATGGTCTAATCATGCCTGCAAAGTTTCGGTACACCGTCCCTAACATCCTGTATATTGGTATTTCGCCTAATGGCGGCGCGAAGACAAAGACTGCCTTATACTTATTAGATGGAGGAAGGCTTCATGTTGCTCTAAGGATAATTGCTTTCTAGTTATTTATTCAGAGGCTAGGTAAATAATGGGAAACTGTTACTGAGGAGCGATGTATTTACTACGTTAGTAAATTTTCTCGCGCAGGTATTCAATTATTATAAAATGTTTGTTACCTATGTATAAAACAATAAAAGGAAAAGACTCTGCTTCGCAAAAACTATTTTCTATCTGGCCCAGAGCCAAATAACAAAAAGACCGTTTTTAACCATTCATATGCTGAACACGTGACAATAACAAAAACATACCACCTTAACCGGAATCCCCGAAATTAAAACTAAATCGCGCGACCCGAATTCGAAATCCAAACCCTCGCACTACAAAAACACCAATCACCGACCCGCATTTATATTTCGAACAGAGGTGAGTCAGGTATCGGCAACCCTCGGTAAGAATTTTGCAAAAATATATGAGTAGTTATAGCGGCGTGGGGAGACCGGGGCAAGGAGGCGTAGGGTGACGGAAGTGGGGTCGAAGTAGCGGGGGGTGTGCGGGGTGTCTCCTAAAAACGGTTAAGTAGCTCCCCCCTCCCCTCTATAACTATTTTATGCGGTCCCCTTAGAAAGACAGCGGTGGAGATAGGCCCCGCGATATAGGCGTTCTGGGGAAGTGAAATTTTAATATATCTGGGCGGTTAAGAATTTATGTCAGATTTAAAATTAAATACCTAATTAGGGTATTGCAATGTTTTGTTCGTGCCAGGAATTTTAACTAAAATGTTACGTTTATTTAAGGATTTTGAAATGGGGTGAGATTTAAATTGTCGGACCACAAGTAGGACCATTATCGTTAGTCGTTGTTTACAGAATTTAGATAAACATATGGAAGCGTTTGAAAGTCTAATTTGTATGTAGTGGATAGTTAGTACATGAAAGATCTGAGTCTTGGATATGATGATTTTTTACACGACTACGGCGAAGTGAAAATGAGTGTTTTACAAATATTACCTAGGAAGGTTTTACTTCTTCTTCGTTTTCATAAATGAAACAAAAAGTACAGGTAGAGTTTTTAAGTGTTTTTCTCAAAATGATATTTAGACGCGCACTAACATCTAACCATACGACACTAAACTAAAAAAAAATAACCAAGTTCAAAACTGATTCACTGAGTAAAGACAGATCGACTGACCTTCTTGCGTCTCGACGATAAACTGAATAGTATTTCATAATAAATGGAATGTACCCTAAAGTTATTCAATACACCTGTAGGTGTATTCAAAGAAACTGTAACAAGTTACCATAACAATAGTGACTCTGAATATATCTTGCTTGACCACTTAACATTGTCAAGTGTGGGCACTTCGTGGGAAGTGAAAGGGGAATAGTAAAGTAGGAACCTGTTCCAAGATCTACTAAAAAGAAATAGCGAAGATGAGTGATTGATTCATTGGATCGATTGAAAGATTGATAATGATTGCTACTTTGTAAGTTTTAGATAAGCCGACGTAAAATGTAAAATGAAGATCTTAGGAATTCAAGTACTAAAGACTATAAAGTTTCGTATCATTAATACAATTTCTTGGGTGTTTGGATAGTATTTATTTTCTTATGGAGCGAGAATAAATTGTTAAGAAACAGAGTATTATAAAATAAATTTTCAGAAATTCTGAAATGCTAATAAAACCGAGTGTAATTTATTGTACAATTTTTCATGATACAGGTGGGATAATTTTCCCCCAGTTGAACCATCAATGGTACCAAGTGTACAAATGATTTCCAAGTGTACAACTGGTCCTGCAGGACTTTTACCTATGTATGTATGAGGTAGGTACCGAAATCATTCTTTATAAAATTTATATCCCACGCTCAAACCTGATAAATACTACTAATTCTGAACGGCAGACCATCAAACAGCGATTGTGTTAAAACCTGCCTTCGAGAAAACAAGATTTTATGCGAAATTTTAAAAACGAACAGGTTCTCCTTACCCTAAGTCGACCTAATAAAAAAGTTCCCATAAACCCAAGCATATTGCGTACTTTTTCAAAACCTGTCGCGACTAGGATGGACAAGACAAGTTTGTAAAAAAGAATCATTTCTGATTCAAGATTTTGATACAGTTTTGAAGAACTATAAAAACTGGTTTCGTTGTGAATGGGGTGATCTGTTTTTGTTGGTTCTTGAACATCTTATTGTAAGTAGCTAAGTAAAAAGATAAGTTTTCTCAAACCAAAACGAGGGGATAAAAAAGGATGTATCCCTTGTAATGTTTCAGTTCTTTGTCTGAAAATGAATATTATGTTATTTTTTGTATTTTTGTCATCTGACATATAAAAAAGGACTTTTTTACCTAATATTTGTAATCGCGTGCGTTCGTTGAAGTGCTAAGGTTCTACTGGTACTGTATAATATTTATTATTTTTCAACAAAGCACCAGCCCCTCGTCTCCGAAACAGGACCTTTGCCGCGCTATAAATCCAAAAACACCCTTGCACTTATCGATCATCTCGGCTCGCACTTCAGACTTCAGACGGCAGCGAGCAAAGGTTCCCCGGTCCCCCCTTTTGCTCGCGTCCATGTAAAAAGCCAACGTCTAAGGCGCGGGGGAGTGAGGGGGGTTGCACACACCTGATGCATAGTAGTGGGCGTGGGGGGCTGCACGTGTATTGCGTAAGCTGTAAGGAAACGTGACAAGGAGTTCTAAGATGTAAGGCAAGTTTGTTGTGCGCCAGTGGCGGTTTCAGGTCCAAGTTCATAAAACTAATTAGTTTTACTGTAGGTTTTCGCTCGTGGTCCGTAGTGTGCTGGCTTAGAATAGCATCACCCCAATTCCAGCTGTGGGTGTCGGAATGTATTCAGGGAATAAGCAACCACGTTCTATGTGAATACAACACATTGAATATTTTGATCTACCTCGCCCAATTTGCCTGCCAAGCGCTAAGCGTGGTGATTAGATTGATTCACTTATGTACCTAGGTGTGAAAATATGTGCAAAATGAGAATCAGTCCTAGTAAATGTGTCCCTCAAATAGTTAAACCGTATTTGTATGAGTATAAGGTGAAATCCTAACGCGAAAATAGCGCACAAACGGACGTTACGTATGTCTTTCGCCAAATATTCGACCCAAACAAAAGAGGCAGTTCTCGAAAATCAGTACAAAATTACACTTCTAACGCCAGAGAATATTGTGCAGATTTCGTGAAATAGTAGCATTATAGGTACATTGTTTACCTAATAAAATGGATTATTGTTGAGTTTCATACTTTTCATTTCATTTTCGAATGTTAGTGTAGCGTAAACGTATGATGTCAATACGGAAAAGCATAAACTGTAAAATGTTACTACAGAACTTTGTTTGCGCTATGAGGGAGACAAACCATTTCCGTGTGAACCTAGCTTAAAATAGCATCAGTCCGCGGGTGTTTTAAGAGGTGACCAAGGGACTCGAGCGTTAAGGGATAAAGGGGACATGTGACGATGAAGACAAGAAACACACGTAAGTTCCATTTGCCACCTTATTGTCATTATGATTGTGGTTTATGTCAAATGGTTTGACAGACGCATAGGTCAAGGCAGCGTTGTACAATACCGTTTGACATAAACCGTGTTCGTATGAAGGTAGGATGTAGAATCAAATGAGTGACGTACAAACGGACGTTGCGTGTGTTTCTCACCGAACCAGCATTCCGTAGTATCTGAACGGCGGCTGGTCGCGCGAATATTCGTATATTTTCATTGGGATAGTTTTTGCCGCGCACTCGCGCTACGCTTGTGTGAGTAAACGCCGTATTGATTCAGCGGCCGGCAAGAAACTTTATTATCTCGAAGAACCGAGCTTGAATTTTGTAAAGTGAATATGGGGTTTGAAACTCGTTAAAATAATGTGTTTACCGTCGAAGTAAGAACAGTTTGTATTGCATTTGCGTTTGAAAAATTTATTTAAAGTGTTATGGAAGTAAGATCGTCAACATTTTTACAGTGTTTTAAAAATGATTTCTTTTTGTACTATTGGCCCAATTGTGTCCCACTTCCTGAGGTATCATCGCCCTTTCTTTCCTATGCCTATCTATTTTAATACCGAAAATCAAAGTAGGTAGGTATACTTAGTCCATTCAAAATCACAGTTTCATGGCCAGCCTAAGCAGAAGGCCAAGTTATGCTGGTCGCGTAGTACCTAGGTATCTAAGTATTGCGACCAGCGTAACTTGGCCTACCGCTAAGGCTGGTCATGCCATTTCATGACACTATGATTGCGAACGGACTGTAGGTATATGGGATAAAATGTTGTTTGCGCAACTTTTAATTTGAATGTTATTTAGGTATTCAATATTGTTACCTCACGTCTATGTAGGTATCTACCTACTCATTTAAGGGACCAACTTAGTCTGGTTTTCCTAGGCAAATGTATGAAAAGCCAGTATTAGCTGATTCCTAAAAGGGATCCAAATAAGGGATCACCTTACACTTGTTTCTCTTACCAACTGTATAAAAAACTAGTAGGTAAGTATAAGCTGATACAGTTTTTTGCAACCAATTACGCTCTGCCTACCCTGCAAGGCATATAGGCGTGATTTATATATGTATGCATAAGCGAGTTATGAAGACGTGTGCAGTGACTTGCCAACTAACTTCATGATGAAGGTACGAGAATTAGGTGCGCTATGGAAATCAAAAGCATAACTTGATTCAGCCAGCCGATGTGGCGTAGCGGTAGTGCGATTGTCTGCGACGCAGAAGGTTCCGCGTTCGATTCTCGGTGGGTCACTCTCAAAGTTGATATTTATCACTTTGTGAATTTGTTCCCAGTTTGGTTAGAACGTTGCAGTCCAAACCACCTGATTGTCGGAAAGCTAGTTCCGCGCTTCGAAGGGCACCTTAAGCCGTCAGTCTCGGTTGCTGTCTATGATTACTTCGTATGATTCGGCGGTCGTTACTCAACCATATCGGAGGCCTGCTACTGCTACCAGGGCTCATCGGGTCGTTGGACGATTCGGTATACCGTCCAAAAGAAAAAGACTTGATTCAACTTCACAGTCAAGCTGGGCTTAACTGCTTAGCTTACCGACTACTGTGTAAAATATCTGTTTTGATGGATATTAGTGACCGATAGGAATATGCAGGATTGGCTGGCGATAAGAAACAACTTTCCAAAAGGTAACAAAGGAAGAAATATGAAGATTTTTTTTGTCCCATTCATAGTAACTCAGATCACTGGCAATTCTGTATGGGAGGTAAAAATGTGGCAAGTATCCCCAAAAAAGGATTCAATATCCAACAATGGACTGTTTCGGCTGTTAATGAGGAGAGGTTAAATCAGTCGATTGTTTTTCATAGAAACGGCTCCTTAGCTTTCCTTTTTGTCTTGAAATAATTAAATTACAGAAATCAGTTGCTATACTGGATTAAATTCAAACAGATTCAAATTATCGTTCAGAATTATCCGCAAAATTGTACGAAGTCGACTTCAAAGCCCTTATTAACATCACAGGCCTAATATTAACACACGACGCGGCGAATAGAGGCAATACCGCCAAGATTTGAGCTGTCATTACCTCGCAAGCAATAACTGCTCGTATGTAATTATGTAAATAAGTAAATGGTGAAGTACCCAGTTATAACCCCCCCTGGTATACCCCACCACACCACCCACGTCTTAGCGCACCCCCTCTCCTCCTCGCGTGAAAACTACCAGCGATATTATAACTTCGTGTGCTGAGGGCTCGCCGGTATGGAGCAGGCTTGTTTTTAGGTCACGAGACTCAATAATCATAATGGGAATCTTTCTATTGACAGCTCCGAGTCAGCGCTTAAATGTCACACTAGATAGCGTAGTTCTGAGTTGAGAAAATTTATACCAACCAATCAGCAAACTTCAATATGGCTGGCGTTTATCACGTTCCGTTTTATGTTGTGTTCGTAATTTATTACCTACTGTTCGATTGATTTGTTATTAAATAAAGTCGTCTTGTTAATTAAGTGTCATTTTCATTTATGTTAATAGTACACTGAAAATCAATAGGAGATTTGGAACGAGGAAAAAACACATAATAAAAAGTAATTTTTAAAGTGGTACGTACAGATTTTCCATGTAAAGAAACGGTATCTCAACTTAGCTTAGCGCCTTCTAAATGAGACTTGAGAATCCATAAAAAGTTTCCCATTGTACTCGAATAAACATTGTACTTTTTTATAGACGTAGGATCATTTTAGGTACTACTGTGGGTATTGTAAGAAGCAAATAAAGGATAAAACAACCTATCTGCGTTCCCAGTTAATGCAACATTTTGCACTACGCTTGCCAAACCGCCGACGTAAAGAGGTATGGGAAATATTCACCAGATGTAGAGACCCAGGTCAAGAAGTGGACTGCAGTGGTTGTTCTTGATAATGATAATTAAGAGGGATGTTAAATTGTTTCCTAAAGTAAGATAAAAAGTACCGGTTGGACTGATGCAGTACAGGAGGTAACCAAGGTACGCAGGTGTCTGTGTACTTGGAGATGTTTGGCGGAGCAGTAGCTCCTCATGCTTACGTCCGTCATGAGTGAAGCTTCGCCCTAGAAGAAAAAGAATAAGATCATAGTCGCAAGAAATACACAGTTTATATTTGCAGATCTGGAGCACATGTCACAGGTATTTACCTACTCCTACTACAGTAACAAAAGAAGAAGCCTACTCCACATTAGCCGACCCGCGCTCGCTCTAAGAAGTCCGCCATCTTGAATCTCATCTCGGCGTTCGTTACTTACGCGCCACAAGATAATGTATTAAAACGCCGTCTATCTATACGTACGTATAAGTGTGTACGTATATGCGCGTGTAGCACGTGTATAGACGCTTTGGCACATGTTGTATTATGTGTCATGTTGCTGTGAGACTGAGAAATCTGTTATTTCGTCATGTTACGGTTTAGGAATGCTTGTAGTAAGTAAGCTTAGTGCTATTAGCATCACCTTAATTCTTCCCGTGAGTGTCCTAAAAAGTGACTATTGAATAATCATCTAAGGTAGCAGCATTCCCTGTGAATGCAGCATCTAGCACTGCGCTCGCCAATCCGCCTGCCAAGCGTGGTGAGTATGGCATTACCTCCGGTAGTGGACTGTTGTGGCTGTTTAATAGTGTTCAGTTAGCTCAGGTACTGGTATGCAGAAGATTAAGGTTGATAGAGCCTTAAAAACTGAAATTTGGAGAGCTCTTAATATTAACAAATGACTGTTAACATTAAGAGCTCTACATCTTTGTTTGTAGTTCTAATGCTAAAATCCAAATAATTATACTAAAGTGCAAAGGGCCTGATTCAAACCTGAGTGTCATCCCAACCATATGGGTAGGTAGTAGGTACCAGGGTAGCGATATCCTGATTGGTATAAATTGTCAAGCGTTCCGCTACCTACTTAATATCCATCGGGATAGCAGGTGTAGTAAGCGAAACCTTGTTGTGTGATGCATTCTTTCGTGTTTAGCTTTAGCTTTTCATCTACGACTAGCCATTTTCAATGTTGCCAGATTTCCGACTATATCTGCGACGCTAGCGCCATCAATACATGTACTACGTTATAATTTATTAAGTCGTAGCTCAGCCTTGCGGTATCGGAATCCTCTGCGGTTGCGGTTAAGATTGCTCTAGCTGGAGATATATTTTTAACCGACTGCTGAATAGAAGGTTAATATTTCGATACTAGTGTTTCGATGAGCAAGTGCTCTTAGCAGTGGAGAACTAAGTATCACAAAACTGATGAAACCAATCATACAAAAATAGTTAGGTACCTACTGCTTATAGAGGTACAAAAATGCGAGAAGAAACAAAGGTAAGTAACTTGTAAGTAAGTACTTGTATGCTTGATAGTTTCTCGGAAATCTTAAGAAAACAACTCAACTATGCAAGATGTAGAAAAATCAACTGCATAAATTTTAAGTGGTAAACCAGCCCTTAAATCTGAACAATTATCCCCAAGTAACATAGGTCGAAAAGGGTAAAAACATCCCATACTCATTGACTCGGCCAGCTGGAATTATTTTGTATGGCAGGAAGTACCATTTTTTTTTATATTTCGACCTAGGTTAGGTATGTTTTTTCGGGAAAGTTCTTTAGTTTCAAGGGCTGATTAACCCCTTAAAATATTTGCTGTTGATTTTTTTAACTTCATATAAAAATAGTAAGAACTTATTAAATTCTGAGGTGATGTGTTTCTTTTGTCGATTTAATGTCTGGGGGATTAGTTTGATGTGTAGGTTAGGGTACCAAAGCATAGGTATTGTAAGTATGTCTTCAATCAAAACTTCACTAGTCAACACTATGACACTATCAACTATGGCGGCCGATGTGGTGCAGTGGTAGTGCCACCGGCTGTAGCGTAAAGGTTCCAGGTTCAATTCCTGATGCACTCACAAAGATTGAAAGACTCACAAAGACAGTCACTTCAGCTTACTGATCTATGCTATGTCACTACGACTACTTACTTTTTTTTATTTGTTGCTCAGCGTTGATTTTTTTGTTTTCCATCTTCGCACGTAATATTGTAACTTTTACGGCAAGTCATACGTGAAAGCTATCGGCGAATCACTCATCGGATTATATTGCGGTTCGTGACAGCTATGTGACAGCCAAAATTTTTATGCAACTGCCTGTGCCATGGTAACTATGCGATTTTGTAAGAGACTTTGTGTAACCTACTGTATTTTTATGTCATTCATTGTATACGAATTTTCGTTAAAAAGAATCATGCGGCGCATTGAAAACTTTAACAGCAAGTCATAGGTAGACAAGTAAGACACCTACTTCCAAAGCTGTATATCTTGAAAACGCCGTTGGGTATTGTTCACTCGACTACACAAGTAATAAGTTCTGAAGTTCTGACGCTGTCATCTCTGCTTCCAGAATGTTGAGTGTTCCTTAAGAAGAGGGACTTCGTTCTCAATCTAACTTCGCTTCGCACTGCCTGCTTCCAACACGTTTAGGGGTGAGGTACAAATAAACTTGTGTTGTAATATGAAATGAAGTAGCGTTTTGTATTTTTCTGTATATTTTGATGTGTGTTTTTTATGGCTAGAGTGATTTAAAAGAAAAGGATATACATAATGTGTACACAGGCCGTAAAAACTAATTTTTCCTATGGGAAAATTAGTTGCAGCGGGTGCAAGCGCTGGACGGGTCTCTAGTAAGTAAGTTGTATGATCTGACGCTGTCATCTCTGCTTCCAGAATGTTGAGTGTTCCTTAAGAAGAGGGACTTCGTTCTCAATCTAACTTCGCTTCGCACTGCCTGCTTCCAAGACGTTTAGGGGTGAGTTACAAATAAACTTGTTTTGTAATATGAAATGAAGTAGCCTTTTGTGTTTCTATGTCTGTTTTGATGTGTTTTTTGGCTGCAGTGATTTAAAAGAAATGGATTTTTAAATGTGTCATGCAGTCCGTAAAAACTTCTTTTTCCTACAGGATAAATAGTTGCAGTGGGTGCCAACCACTGGACGGGTCGCTAGTAAGTTGTATGATCTCATGCTGTCATCTCTGCTTCCAAAATGTTGAGTGTTCCTTAAGAAGAGGGACTTCGTTCTCAATCTAACTTCGCTTCGCACTGCCTGCTTCCAAGACGTTTAGGGGTGAGATACAAATAAACTTGTTTTGTAGTATAAAATGTAGTCGCTTTTCGTGTGTTTCTCTATCTGTTTTGATGCTTTTTTATGGCTAGTGCGAATACAGGCCGTAAAAACTTCTTTTTCCAACGGGAAAATTAGTTACAGCGGGTGCAACCGCTGGAAGGGTCGC